ACAAAACCAGAAACCTCTGTAGTCAGCCTCGGGGGTAAGGCACAGTGAGTCTCCCCCCGAGAGCCCTCCCTCAGTGGAAAGGACTCGTGTGCTGGGTCCAGGCCGTGTGGACGCGGCACCAAAATCCCAGAATTTTTAGCAGAACCTGTCTTTTACCAAAACATGGTTTGCCTAAAACGCTGTCAAACCTATTTTTAGAAGATCTTTCCAACTTGTCCTGGGAGGTGGCACCACCTTTTCCCCGGCTCCCAACTGAGCTGGGAGTGCCCACGGGGAAGAGCGCTTTGATTTTGGGCACCTGGTTGTTTGTTTGTTTATTTATGTCTTTATTGAGCCAGTTATCCTGATGTATCAGTGACAGGGCCGGATCAGACTTATTAAAACATGTAATTCAAATTTTGACAAATTCTTTGCTCCAAAAGAAACCTTATCTTTAAGCAAACATTCTCCAGTATTCTGAGTAATGATCTCATTTTTTAAAAAAGTTAGATAAGGAAATGATGCTTCTCCTAACTAGACACTATTATTTCACTAACTCTGAAAAGGAAGAATTCCTATGTTTTTAACCAGAATAGAAAAATGACCATTATTGAATTAATTGTGATAGCTTCAAGGTGGATTATGATCCAGAAGCTTCTTTAATCTGCCGTCCCTCAAGCATGTGCCCAACCCCCTTTCTAAGTCCTTGCCTCCCCCCCGAAACTCTGCCCTTCCTCCTGCTGCTGCCCATGTTTACTTTTGCTCTCCGTGGCTTACATCGCTAATCTTTGCTTCTTATGTTACATAGAACTCAGGGCAAAACCTAAAGTTCACCCTGATTCAAGCAGCCTGCCAGGCCGGGGTTTGGCATGTGCGGCGAAGCCAGGAGCACCACCTGCCTTGGCAGGAAGAGCTGTCCTGGGGAGGACCACAGCGTGGGAATGCCGCCACGCCCTGTGGAGGAGCAGCGTCTTCGTTTTGCTTTCGGGAATTCTAGAAGCCTCCTTCCCTGTGTTAGGGGCATTGGATTAGCTGCTTCCTGCCGAGGGGTTTGGTCCGCAATGCTGATTGAAGGTCTTCTCTGGTTTGGGTGTGAGTTCCGTAGATCTGAAGCTGTCAGTGTCCGCAGCAGCTCACTGCACCATGACAGGGAGCACAGAGAGCCTGGGGGGAGGGAACCGGCAGCACTTCTCACGTGGACCTGGCTGCTGCCTCCTACCTGTGCTCGGACACTCCTGGAAGGCGCTGAGGGGGGTTAGTTTGCTCCTGTTGTGGCTGTTAGGGTCACTGCTGAGCCTGAGTCTCAGTCTGTCCCTGCAGCCTACGTCTTTCCACCCACGCTGCTACCCATCTCCTGTTGGGGTCTTTTTATTAATTTTAGAGAGGAAGGGAGAGGGAGAGAGAAACATCAGTGATGAGAGAATCATTGATGGGCTGCCTCCTGCACGCTCCCTACTGGGGTTCGTGCCCAAAACCAGGCATGTGCCCTGCCTGGAATCGAACAAGGACCCTTCATTTCAGGCCGATGCTCTATCCACTGAGCAACTGGCTAGGGCTCCTGTTGGGATCTTAAACATCTGTTTCTGTACATCACCGTTTCTAACTTGGTATATCTATGAAATCATTCAGTGTTTTCTGATCCTTTTGTTTTGTTCAAGTTGAAGAGCTGAGACCCACCGCTTCCTCAGTTGGGAGAGCGCGGCTTTCTGGCCAGTGTGTCAGGGTGCTTGTGCACCTGACTGCTTCCGTGGGAGCGCTGGTTCAGAGAGCGGGCGCGCTCAGCGTGGTGTGCAGGAGCTGAGGAGGAGGAGGAAGAGCATGATGGTCACGCACCGCGTGATGGAGCTCTCCCAGGATGTGCTGCCCTCTTAAACAGCATTGCAGGGGCTGCTCGCCGGAATGGAAGTCTTTTCCGAAGAACAGATGAGTGTTGTCCTTTGCAGTGTGGGGCACTGGAGGGGTGTGCTCTGGTGCAGGGGCTTTCCTGAGGCTCACGTTGCTCATTGGTAGATGCCTTGCCTCCTCCTCGATGGCGGGGCGCTCCTTAGATGGAGCATGTGGGTGCAGACCAGCGAGGCATGCTGAGGGGTGACTGCCAGTTGTGAGTGCTTTACAACGACATGCACGAGGGGAAAGTTAGTTTGACAGACATTTTTAATGTCCCCAGTGTACAGCGGACATGGCCTGTGCAGGGAGAGCACGGTGGCTGAGGTGTGTGCTGGCCCTCCCGGAGCTGCTAGTCAGGTGGCAGAGACGCTGAGCGGATGTCTGGGTGCGGTGTGCAGTGTGCGCACAGAGCTTCCTGCAGTTCTGCTAAAGCGAGTGGGACCCAGGGGCGGCTAGGCCTAGCCAGGGGAAGGACAGGCATGATCCACATTCAGGGAAGGTACGGTGACTAGAGGTGGGCACTGAGGTTTGGCCGGCCCGGCCTGTGCAGGGCGGGCCCTCAGCTCGGCATTACCGGGCACAGTGGGAAGTGCAGCTAGAAGACCTCATTGGCCCGCAATGCTGATTGAAGGGCTCGACATGGTCACCAGGGTAGCGTGTTAGAGGGATTATTGGAGTGGGCAGACCCTCGATGTGGGCAGTAGGCCAGGCGGGAGGCATCCTCTGGACAGAGCTCTGTGCTCTGGCAGCCCCAGCTCCCGGCCAGCCGCCAGGTCCCTTCAGCAAGGACTGCTGGTAGCCTTCACGTGTTTCCTGGGTGTGGTCACCCCTGTACTTCTCTTCATCCAGGGAATGGTAACAGTGGAGGTTTTTATTGATTGGAGAGTGAGAGAGCCATTGATGTGTTGTTCCACTTGTTGATGCATTCGCTGTTTGATTCTTGTATGTGCCTTGACTGGGGATCAAACCTGCACCTTTGGGCTATCAGAACGATGTTCTAAGCTGCCTGGCCAGGGTAGCCTGTATTTTTAAATCCTCCTTTTAGAGTTTTTAAAAATTGTGCCTTTCCTCACCAGAGGACCGGGCTGAGGTTTGTGTGTGGTGCTGCTCTCTGAGGCTGAGAATGTGCCATGCAAACCTGGACACCGCCTCCTTGAGTTGAAGGGGTAAAGTTCATGTGTGCATACCAGGGCCAAACGGCACTCTGCTTTCAGGGCATCTGTGTTGGAAAGGCTGCACTTTGCAGGAGATTGAATTGCCAAGAAAAGCTCACCGTGGGTTTCTTTTAAATACTCTCATTTCCATGTGTCCGTGAACGAATGTGACTCAGTCAGTACTTGCTGACAGGGCAGCCCACCCACTTGCATGGGTGCACGGAAGCCCGGTCTGCGTGGCAGCTCAGCTCCCTGCCTGCTGTGCAGGAGCAGAGGCCGGCGGCGCTGGCTCTGTAGGGCCGGGAGCCCCTGAGCTGGAAGAATTCCTGCCGAACACCGGAGAGTCCGACAGTCATTCTACTTCCCGCCCCTTCCGCCCAGTCCTGGCCAACTGCAAGAAGCTCCTCAGGTCACAGATTCCCACCAGCGGGCCCACCTACTGCCGTGGCCTCCGCCGCCGTTTCCTGGCCTTTGCGTCCTCACGCTGCCCTCTGTATGGACCACCCCACCTGCCCAGCACCCTGAGGGCATGGGACCACTGTCTGCACCTCTGGTCTGAGCTCTGAGCTAGCCCCTGACACACGGGACTGAATGGATGCACACACAAAGCACAGCTGGAAGGCAGGGAGAAGGGTGATGAGAAAAAAATTGCTGGGGCTGTGAAAATCTTAAGAAGCGTATGAGCTTTTTAAGGGTAGAACATGACTCTTAAAATTACCTCTCCTCTGTGCTTTGCAGCAAAGCCTGGCCTTTTACATATGGAGGAAGCACAGGCAAATCTTGGGTGTTCTTCACACCTGTGTCCTCACATGCACACAGCTTTGCCCTTGAATCGTGCTAACCTGGGTTTCCATTTGGCTCTAAAGGATTCAAGCATAATCCCAGTGTGTGCCTCTGCAGGTGTGTGCCGTGTGTCCAGGAGCATGCTGACCAGGTGATGGGGGTGAGCGGTGAGCTTATTTAATGCCTGAAGGAGGCATGGTCCTCAGGGAAAGCCCAAGAAGTCCCCAACTAGAAGGAAATGTGACTGAGAATTCAGCTTCTTGAAACAGAACGAGTCCTCGGCAGACCGAGAAGGGCGTGGCTCTGGCAGGGCGGGCGGCCCGAGGATAATGTGCTAGGTTTTCACTGTGTGTGTAAGGAAATGCGCACCTGTTTACGGTTTGCTGTCTTCACATATCACTTGTGTACATACTCCTTTTTATCAGTAGTAGTTACTGACTGGCCAGGTATCTCCATCCCCCCTCACGTGATCTGTTTTTACGGACCAGGAAGGGGGTTAGCATGTGTGAACGGTGGGCTGGGGGTTGTCTCCTGCTCTCTGAGCCCAAGCCCCTGCTCGTTCTGTTCTCTGGCTTTTGCACGTGGCTCCCCCTCTGACAGGATGCCTGTGGCCCTTCTTGTGTCCCAGGCGGGCCCCGCAGAGGCCAGATGCTCCTCTGCGGTGAGGTGAGCGTGGGACCGGACGAGCAGCTTCCCCAGAGGCTGCTCTGGACCTCCCTGCAGCTGAAACCCGAGTGCTATGGCCACTTCCTTCCATTTCTCTCGTTATTCCTGCTGGGGCCCACAGGCGTGGGGGTGTTTCTCTTCTCAGTCCGATCTCCTCGGGCACCCTCTCCGATGTCCCTGTACCTAAGGATCTCCAGTGCTTGGCACAGCTGCCGGCCCCAGCCCACAGACTGAGGCCGCAGGTCTGGGACCCGGGAGGTGGCCTCCTAACAAGGTCGAGGCTGCTGCTGCTGCTGCAGTGGGGGCGGAGCAGGCTGCGCTTGGAGAACCACTTTTCCGAGGTTTTTGCCAAAATCCACTGTCCCCGCCTTCCCAGGTCCTCCGTACCATTACCCTTCGAACTTCCCGAACAGCGTTGTCCCGAGGAAGTGACGGTGGCATTGAGGGAAGCGTGTTGCCCGACTCCGGACGGGCAGCGCCGCTCCCGGCTGCTGCTCCCGGCCACGCTCACGCCCGGGGCCTGTGTTTCAGGTGGTGAGATCCGCAGAGGAAGCGGCGTCCACGCTGGCCAGCTCCATCCACCCGGAGCAGTGCATCAAAGTGCTCTGCCCCATCATCCAGACGGCCGACTACCCCATCAACCTGGCTGCCATCAAGATGCAGACCAAGGTCGTCGAGAGGATCGCCAGGGAGTCCCTGCTGCAGCTGCTGGCAGACATCATCCCGGGCCTGCTGCAGGTGGGCTGGGCGCCGGCCTGCGGGCGGGCGGGCGGCTGGGCGCGGGCCTGGCTCCCTTGCTCGCTTGAAGCGGAGCACGTAGGGAAAGTCGGGAGGTGACCTCTTGTTAGAACTGGGAGGCTGTGTGGGGTGGCTGCCTCACGTGTTTCTCTCGGCTCCCAGTCTACCCTCCCCTGAGTGCAGCAGGAGGGGTCCTGGCAGCCCAGAACTGGGCTTCGAGAATGAGCTCTGTTTACTGTAAACGTATTTGGATCATTTTTGTTGTTGTTCATTCCTTCAACAAACCCTATTGCGCACCTGTGGGCCCCAGCCCTGGGCAAGGTGGCCATGGAGTGGGGAATCCGACAGTGGCCCTTGCTCTCATCTACCCAGGAAATGTGGGTTGAAACCCTCCTGAGCCCGAGGCGTTGCGTTAGACAGGCTCTGGGGGAAGATTGTCTCCACTGCTAGGCGTCACCTCAGGGTGGGCAGCCCGCGTGGCGAGCGGAGGTGCGGGGCTGTGCTAAGCACCGGGGAGGTGGGAGCTGACCCCTGGGACCAGAGCAGCAGGAGGCGGGCGGGGGGGGGGGGGCTCATCCGGGCGGCGGTGGTCCTGATGAGAGCTCCCTGGGGCAGGTAGAGAAGTCAGCCTCGCGCAGTGCTGCTGTTCGCTGAGCGCGGGGCCTGGGATTGAAGACACGCTGCTGGGCCTGGATGACGCCAGGCAGCGGGCACAGTGGAGGGGGCCCGGGGCCTAGGGACCAGCAGGCAGCCCATCCGGGTGTGGGTGGAGTGGGATGAGGGACGGTAGGTTAAGGTCCAGCTCTAGCGGGTGCTAACTGATGTCCCGGCACAAGGGTGAGTATTTTCACACAGGAAGCTTGTTTCACCGTCGGGAACAGTTCGAAAGAAGCACAGTACTGTGCCCCTTCCCCTGTTTCCTGTTCCGTCCCCGGTGCTCGGGGCCTGCTGTGGCGGTCCTGGCAGCGGCCCGGCTGGGCAGGTCGCTGCGGCAGCCACCGAAGAGCTCTCGGGGTCAGGTGCAGGCTGAGGTATGCCTGGTTGTTGACAAGTCCAAGGTTGAACTCTAAGGGCACTTGTGGAAATGTTGAAATACTGACGGTGAAGCACTTCTTTGATCTCGTTTCCTTTTTGTGCTCCCCTCTGACTCTGCAGGGTTATGACAACACGGAAAGCAGTGTGCGGAAGGCCAGCGTGTTTTGCTTGGTGGCAATCTATTCCGTAATCGGAGAAGAGCTGAAACCTCACCTCGCACAGCTCACGGGGAGCAAGGTACGGATCCTGTTACAGGCCGAGGCGCCGCCTGGCTCTGCCGGCGTGTCCGCACTCGCTGTCCGCGCTCCGGACCCACAGCGTCCCCACTGTGTGTGTGGTAGTTGGGCCCATTTCTCCGAAAGCGCTTTCCTGAAGGAAGAAGTGACCACTAGGTAGGGTCGTCACAGTGAGCTCGGTGAGCTCTCCGTCATAGGGAAGGTGGCTGTTGGGAAGCCAGCCTGTCTTCTCTCACAGAAACGCTGGGAGGTTTGCCTGCTGGGTGAGCTGCTTGCTGGGTGGGAACTGGTTCTCGGGGCATCACAGGACTGGTGGCCACTCTCCCCACGTGCTCGCCGAACCCAGCACCATTCTCTGCGCTTGGTGGTGTTGGCTCACTTACTCTGACAGCCCCATGGCTAAGGACAGTGCCTGCATTTAACTTGCGAGAGCAAACAGGGATTTAACCCCAGAAGCCGGCATTGCAACGCCCTGTGCTGCCGCTCGTGTTTCTTTAAGAGTCGTTTAGAATCGGGCAGAAAATAGGGAAAAGGACTATTGGCTGGAGTGCTTATGGTTTAAAAATAAGCTCAGGTCTGCTCAGCCTGCTTCGGGAGAGCAGGCAGAAACGGAGGGGGAGGCGGCGCCTTGGTGATCTCCGAGGAGAAGTCCCGACCTGCTCTGGACCAACCGGGGAGGGGCCCTGGCAGCGGCGCCGTTACAGGAGCAGGCAGCGAGCGGCGCCTGACCTTGCTCCTGAGACAAGGAGGAAGCAGCAGGTGACGCCCTGTGCTGGTCCAGTGGGCACACAGAAGGAGTCCTGCTTTCTCAGGGCTCCCCCAAAGCTGCCTCTGCCCGCCTTTCCAGAGCACGACCTGTGGGACCCTCAGCACAGTTGACACTTCAGGCCACTGTGTGTGTGTGTGTGTGTGTGTGTGTGTGTGTGTGTGTGTGTGTGTGTCTGTGTCTCCGGGAATTGGTGAAGTGGTGTATGTAGTAGGTGACCTGAGGGCCCAGTGACGGACTCCCCAGTCACCTGAGCTCCGGACACTTGAGGTGCACCTCGGCGTGGTGTGCATAGTCTTGTCGTAGTTGAGCCTTGATTGCTGTTGCGTGACTGGGAGGAATTACTCCCCAGGCCAGTTGGCTGTGGGGACCAGCTGCAACTGCAGCGGGAGAGCTGCTGGGCAGGAGACTCCCCTCAGGAGCAGGACTTGCCTCAGTGTGGCTTTCGTGCTCACTGGGTCTGCCCCTTGGGTGTGTCACTTGTGGATCTGCTATGGTCAGAAGCTGTCCACTGGCTCTGGGCCTCCTGGGGAGTGCAACGTCAGCCAATGCCCAGGCTGGCCCGGCAGAAGCTAAGAGAGATCTGCAAATAGCATATAGTTGAATCATGTTCTTCTGTCCACTCTGCCAATCTCAGTCCTTTGATTGGCGAGTTTAATCCATTTATATTTACAGGAGCTACTGATCCAGGAGGAGGGACTTCTAGCATTTTGGTATTGATTTTCTATATACCATAAAGCTCTTACTTCCCTCCTTTCCTGCAGTCCTGTCTTTTGTGTTTGTTTGCTTTCTGTACTGAAATATTTTCATTCCCGTTTCCTTCTGTGTCCACTCTATAGCTGTTTTCATTGTGCTTACCATGAGGATTGCATTTGACATTCTAAGGTTACAATAGTCCCATTTGAATTTACACCAGCTAATGAGCAAGCTTTCTGAGCCCTGGCTTTTTATTTGTAAAACGGGAGACCCAGGAAGGATTTTTATGAGGCTCAGATACGGTGATAAGTAGCATCGAAGTCCTTGTAGCCTGTTAAACATGGACACATCATTGACTCTTGTTGTTTTTCCCTTGTACTTACAGTTGTATTCTAGACTTGACTGGGTGGATGCATTAGTGGTCTGAGTTGCAAAGAAGTGTAACAGTAATTAATAACTCATTTTTAACTGGCCTTTCATAGAAATATCTTGTCTTCTAGATTTTTTAAAAAACTCGTTCATTCCACATCATGTGTTAGGTACCTGCTTTCTTCACTGGACTAAGCTAAGGCAGGTGGGAGAAGCACAGCTCACCCTGCCCGGAGCAGCGTGCACAGCGGGGTCAGGCTGGAGCGCGGGAACCTCCGTAGCAGCCCAGGAGTGAGCGGCGTGGAGTGACCGCCGTGCCACAGGCTCTGGTTCTAGGTGCTAGGCCATGGGAGCAGGAGGAAGGGGGCCAAACGGGGCTGGGCTGGGCAGGGCTGGGCAGGGTGGGGTCAGCTGCTTAGGAGGGAGGAAGGAGCAAACCGCAGGAAGGAACAGTGAGAGCAATTGGAGAGGGGCGTTCCGAGGACATGTTTACTGAACAAGGAGCTCAGAAGGCACTGGGAGGTGTGACCGCTCTTCATTTTGCAGGGGGGAAGTTGAGGCTCAGGAAGTGTTTTTTGTGGTCACATGACCAGTTGGTTCTGGAATTCTGCCGCATCTGTTGAGTCTCAGGCCAGGGGAGACGTCCTACTGAGCATTCAGATGGCGCTTTCATCATAGCATGACGTTACGTTAGCCACTTTAAGATTGAAAAGGTGGGGAATGAAAAACAAACCGGTGGGGAGTGTAAGTTAACGTGAGAAGACAGCGAGCAGGCCCGGGTGGGGGCACAGGACCTGTGAGCTGCGGCAGCTCCAGGACGCCCGCCACACTCCCTGTGGAGCGCCCACAGCACGGTCCGTCTCCGCGTGCCTGTGGCGGGGGCACCGGGCCGGGCGTCTCTGTATGTCCCACGCTGCGGTGGCGGAGAGGGGCCACGGGATACAGTGTGCAGAGTAGAAAGGAAGATAGGACTGTATCCAGTGAGCAGCTGGGAGACGCTGCAGGGCTGTGTGGCCTGGCCTCAGTTGGCTGAAGTGGGGTGCAGAGAAGGTGGGGGTGGGAGGAACAGCTGGGGTACAAACGACCTCAGTAGGACACCTCCAGGGCCTGGGCTCTGCCCTGCTTGCCGCCAGCGTGGAGGAGCGGTTGGCTGTGGGTGCCTTGAGGTGGGGGTTCTGTCCTGCGTGTACCTTTCCCTTAGTGGGAGCCCCCTGCCTTCTGTCCTCCGGCCCTGGCGGCGGGGGATGAGGCCGACACCGTCAGTGTCTGTGTATGACAGTGTCTGTTCCCGTTTCCCACCTGCTCGCCTCCTCTAACGCGGCCTCTCTCCCTGCAGATGAAGCTGCTGAACCTGTACATCAAGAGGGCGCAGACCACCAACAGCAACAGCAGCTCCTCCTCCGACGTGTCCACGCACAGCTAAGGCCGCGGGCCGCAGCCGCGGTGCCTCCCAGACCTCCGCCCCGTCGGCCCCGCCGGGATGAGGAGCGCAGATATTTATTACAATCAGTATTCGGTCCCTTGCAGCTTTTGTGTAGAATCTTACTGGCACTGAATGTAAAGGAGCAAGGCCTGTTTTGCGTCTTCACACACAGCTGAAGAAGCGAAAGAGCCTGCGTCTCTGCACCGAGCTGGCACCGGGGCCAGTGTGTGGCCGCCTCCAGCCACCACCCGACAGCAGCTGCAGTGGGCACGGGGCATGGCGGTCTGTTCTCTCCCATCTTAGCATCCTGTGGCCGTGGCCGTGGCCGGGACGCCATGAAAGGGTTGGTTACCTCTTTGAGTTGTATTGGAGACCTGCTGAGAATGTGAATCACTTGGCAAGAAAGGAGGAAAACCGGGAGATGGCCTCTGGCAGACCCAGTTGCTTCTGTGCCGGGCCAGGCAGTGGCCCTCACACCAGTGCGGCTCCTGGGAGGTCCAGGAAGCTGTCCTCGGGGGCCTCTCGGGCCTGGGTCTGCCCCCGCCCTGCCCCGCCCCCACCCCGTTCTCCTGCCCCCCAGCGCTTGCTTAAGCTGCTCAGTTCTCACTGAGCCGGGCGGGTGGCACCCGCACCATCTCGGTTTTCATTTCTCAGTTTAATTTGGAGTTAAGATCCAAGAAAAGTCTAGAGAGAATTACTATTTTTAATTTTATGGACTGAAGGACTTCCTTCATCTTCTGTTGAAATAGTCATTGTTTAAGGGAAAAAGTAATTATGGTGAATGACAAATGGCTGGAAAACAGGATTTGTAACATAATTTTAGAGTGTTTCCTTTGGTAAGAAATTCCCAGAGTAACCACCCATTTTAAAAGTTTCTTGAGAGTCTGATTGCTTCAGAGTCATTATTGGTTTAAAATCTTGGTGAAAGAAGCTTTAAGTAAAATTCTTAAAGCGAATGGAAATTCTGAACGCGAGCATGAGGGTGTCTGTCGCTGGAGTTTCAAACCACAGTGCCCTTCGCGGAGGGAGGACCCTCCCCGCCTGCCTGCCTGCGGCGTGCTGAGCAGGCCGAGCCCCCGGCCGCCGAGCAAGCAGAGATGTTCAGGTTCTCACTACCGTCCTCCTCCCCTCTGACCTCCAGCTTCAGCGTAGGAAGTCAGCAAAGACTGTAGCAGACAACGCATTTCATTCAGATTTTGTTTTAGATACTTTATTTGGAAATAGGCCCGGAGAATGAAGGTGCAGGAACAGGGAAGCCAGGTGCCTTTGCTGCGTATGCGTGCGTGTGAGTGTGCATGTGTGTGCTGGGTGTGTGCGCAGGGTCTCTCGCACTCTAGAGAGTGCCGTGGGTGGACGTTACTGGCTTATTTTGGCTCAGAACACAGCAGGGCCTGCTTCCATTGCTAGATGCTCCATGTTAATATTTCACTGAGGGGTTTGTCATGCTCTGCAAGATCCCCATCACTGCTGTTGTACAAGCGCGGCTCAGGCTGGGTTCCCTCCCTCCAGCAGTGCGGCCCAGGCCCCGCAGCGCCTGCCCAGGGAGGACCTGAGCGTGGCCGGCTGCCCACAGGGCGCTCACAGGCCCGTCTCCGACCCCAGCTTAGAGGTGCGGTCCCCCAGGCGTCCAGCCCCGTCCAGCAGCCGCCACGCTCAGACCCGCATGCCCCGCCTGCAGCCCCGCTTCCCCGCAGGCCTGTCCCGTGAGAAACAGAGCAAAGCCCCAGACGCGTCTGCTCCCGTCCGCCTGACGTCCGGGCGCCACAGCCCCTGGACACTGCGCCGGGCCAGCTCCCTCTTCCAGCCGCCGCCATCGTCAAGGTCAAAGCTGAGGCCGAGGCTGGCGAAGCTGCTCCTCAAGGACACTCCCCTCTGGGCCGCGGCCACGGCCGCTCTGGCCCAGCACTCGCTTTCAACACCCGCTGCAGCCGACGCAGCGGGTTTTGTCCCATCTCTCTCTCTCTCTCTCCAGCCGCCTTTATTTATCGAGCATAACACACGGCAGAGAACGGCCGTCAGGACTCTAGAACCCGCAGGACTTGGCTGGCGGTGACGTTTGGACGTGGAAAGTGCCCTGCAAACACCGGCCACCAATGTCCGTCAGTGCTGTGTGCGCACGCATGTCCCGCGCCCCCAGGTTGGGTTTCTGTTTTTCGGTTTTATTTGGGGGGGCTTTTTCACGTTACATCCATATCTGTATTTATATCTTCTTCCTTTCACTCTCCAGTGTATCACGGCAAATGTACAGACTCTTTTGTTAATAATGTAGGATTTGCTAAAAAAGAAAAAATAAAAGAACCCTTTTGAGTTTGCCCTCGAATAAGTGACGCTTGATTCCGTGTCCTGCCTGGGGCCTCTCTCCTCACCGGGCTCTGGGCGGCGCGGCCGCCGGCATCGGGCGCGGCCACCGAAGACAGCGGGCTCCGTCCTGGGCTCCTTCTCCCCCAGGAGCCGTCCCTGCGGGCGCCGCGTGCTGGACGGCAGGGAGACACCGGGACTGCCGGAGCGGGGCTCCCACCACCCTCCCCTGGCCGAGGGGGAGCAGAGCCTCGGGGCCTGGGGAGGGCTCGCAGGCTGCCGCCTGCAGGGCGTGGGCCTCAGAGGAGCCCCGGCCCCAGGCACGAGGGCGCTTCCCTGGAGTTTTACTGAAACGCTGTCTAACACTGTGTTTCAGGGCTCATTTCAGTGTCGCTACCATGGCTCCGAGCCTCCTGCGTCCTACCCATCGGACGTGACCATGGTGATCAGACTCCTGGATTCAAATCCCGGCTCCCCTTCTCCCTTGGGCAGCCTCAGCCCTCCGCTCACAATGGCTGGGACCGGCCGCGGGAAGTGCACTGGGGTCGGTGGGTGGTGTGTGAGGCGCTGCGGAGGCCGCCTGCCCGAGTGGAGTGGGTGAGGGCATACAGGTCAGGGGTCCGAGGTGGGGTGGGGTTCGAGGCCATGCCCGGCAGGGGGCTGCTCGGGGCCCATGGCCGCTCCAGGGAAATGGATTCGGTTGCGCGGTGGGCTCAGCCTGGCGTCGGCTGCTCGCTCCGCTCTCGGCCTGGGCTTCGCTGAGACCGCCTCAGAGGGTGTCCCCTCTCTGGCAGCGCCCCCAGCTCAGGGCCCGCCTCCTGGCTTCTCACTTCTCAAGCCCCAAGCAGGACACTCCAGCCGTGTCACATGCCTCCAGCCACGTTTCCTCCTGGCCCGGGAGGGCCCGGCTCCAACACGTGTGTCCGGTGAAGCCACGTGCCGCTCACCTCTCAGCCCACGTGGGGTACAGGCGTGGTGGTCGTGGCCTTGGTCCCGGGGACATCTTTGCCCCGGGGTCTCACCCTCCGGGGCTGCCCACCTTCTCGTGATGCCGTGGCTGTGGCCTCAGTGAGCTGATGACTGCAGCGGTGAGCAGATCGGAAGCGGTTCCATGCCTGTCGTCTGTCACTGTGTCTCTTCGGGAATCATCCTGTCTTCTCGGTGCTCAAATGAAAGCCTGCCGGGCACTGTCATCAACGTCATTTCGGTCCCTTGCTGCTTTCTGCCAGGCAGGTGGGGCGCCATTATATTTTGTTTTATTTTTAAATATATTTTTTTTTAACTTTTTTTACAGAGAAGAAGAGAGAGGGATAGAGAGTTAGAAACAATGATGAAAGAGAATCAATCATCTGTCAGCTGCCTCTTGCACACCCCCTACTGGGAATGTGCCCGCAACCAAGGTACATACCCTTGACCAGAATCGAACCCGGGACCTTTCAGTCTGCAAGCCGATGCTCTATCCACTGAGCCAAACAGGTTTCGGCGAGCGCCGGTGTATTTTAAACACCTTCCAAGAGTTCCCACTCAACGGGAGAGGTCGCAGACCCGAGCTGCCGGCATCGGATGGCTGATGGGAGGCGGGACAGGCACCTGAGGAGCCCTCAGCCAGGAGGCTCACGGGGCGTCGCAGGGTGTGCAAGCTGAGAGGAGGAAGGAGGTGCGGCCGTGCAGTCTGCAGGCGAGGCCCAGGCCAGGGAGCACCAGCTGGTACCCGGAGCGGGGCGGAGCTCGGGCCCTGCTCTCCAGCCGCTGTCTTCGTGCTCCTCCAGCTCCCACCTTCCAACATCTTTCCTGATGTTACAGCGGCCACGCCAGAGTCTAAGGGGCAGCAGCTGCCTCCCCGCAGCCCCCCCCCCCCCCCCAGTGCTGCTGATGCTGGAAGCTCAGGGCCTGGAAATGTGCATTTCCAACAAGTCGGGGGGGGGGGGGCGTGCAGGTGCTGTCGGCCTGGGACCGGCCTCAGAACCATTGCGGGCATTTTCCTGGGCACGGCAGGGGGGTCAGGCCCTGGGCCATCCTGAGGGGAGCGCTGCAGAAACCACTCGGCTTCGGGGAAGTCGCCGGACCATCGCTGGCGTTGGGGGCGTCGGTGGTGACGAAGCATCTGGACTGGGCCTGCGAGGGGAATGGGTGCCATTAGCGGAGGGCAAATGGGACCCGCCTCCCTGGTACAAAGCTCCGCTTGGCCGCCTGTTTCCTCCAACACTGATTAACTCCCCTGCAGGGCTCCGGGCGAGGGTGGACAAAGGTCATGTGAATGAGCATCTAATCTTAGGTTATGTGTTTAAAACACATTAAAATGTCCCACTCCAGTGCCCTCAGCCCCGGGCCTGCTGCCAGGCCGGAGCCCATGAGCCTGACTCCCGGGCCAATTCCCAGCAGCTCAAGAGGACCCGCCTCCCTGGGTGCCGGGGAGGAGGGTGGGGTTGGGGGGGGGGCAGGAAGGCCCGCCGCCCACCGCTCCGGGCACTCGGGTGCCAGGTGCGGGCCTGGCAGGGGAAAGGCCTGCTGGGTTTGGGATGTCTGATCCAAGTCCGAGCCTTTAGGGTCCATCCTAAAGGCTTAGGGTGACTCAGTGCCGTCCTCTGGAGCCCCGAGGGGAACGAGCCCCGCTGGTGGGGAGGGGAGCGGTGTGCGGGGGCAGAGCTGCTGACAGTTCGGGGCTCACACTGTCCCTTTACAAGCCTCGCACTATCGAGGCG